ATTTATTTTATTCTTTCTTCAAAAAACGCAAAGTTTCGACATTTTTTCATTTTTTTCTCATGAAACTGCCATAACTTTTTAAAAAAATACCAAATAAATAAAAAATTTTATAGATGTATGTTGTTTTTTCCTATTATTTGGTATATTTTTTTTATAAATCTGACACTTACCTACCCACGGGGAGGGATTAAAATGACAACTATTTCACAAAAAATTAACTTTTGAAACGGTTCCGATAAGTCTGACACTTTTATGTATATCTTAAATTAAAGCTAATGTAAAGTACTTTATTATGAAAAAAAATTTGGACTTTATTTTGTCTTCACGGTGGAAATAGATATCAATATTAATAAAAGAAATACGATATTTGTAAAAAAATTCTTTTTTATATTTTTAACTTTATAATTCTATAAGTTCTTGAAAAATGTATGGATCATTATATTTTTTTTTAAATAAGTACTATTTATATTCTTTTTTGTTACATACTTTTATTTAAATCGGACCATTACCCTTTATATATTAATATGTATATTTATTTATTCATATATTACACTTATAAATCATGGTGCTTGTAATCAGGATATAAATAAGGAAATTATGTAGCTTTTGGAATAATACACCAATTTTTTAAAATTAAACACTATCTACAGATTAGCATCGAAGCGTTTTTTAGAATAGTGATTTTAATCACTGTCAGATATCATTATACTTGAACCAACTATGCCACGTCCACACTGAGCCACGACCCCACTGTGCTGGGTTTTTTATATGTAAATACTCGTTTATACTAATCATTAATAATCTTAAAAAAATAATAGATAGAATAAATCTAATTGAAGATTTGAAATCAAGGCAAAAAATTGGTTTAGTAAAAAGTATATTTTGGTGTATGATGAATTTAAAAATGTTTCATTTTAGTGTTATGATTTTTCTGTGTAATTCAGTAGAAAATCGTATTCTATACTTCTATTATTTGTGGAGGTCTTTAATTTTAAAAATACATACTTTAAATAAAGTATTTTTATAAAAAAAAAAATTTAACTTAGACGGCCAATTTTTCATAGTAGAAAAGTCGTCATGAAATTCTTTTAAAAAAATTTTCTAAAAACTTATGTAGGTTTTAAATAAACATAAATATTTTGAATATTTATAAGTAATGAATAAAAAATTAGAGGTGATTTGTCCGTTAATCCACATTTTTTAGTACACCAATGATATTTACATTGATTACTTAAAAACATTTTTAAATACATTTTTGTATAACAATTTATTAAATTTTCCAATTTCTACACAAAAATTGTTTTTTTTTCTATAACTTTTCTTTAACCCCGGATCATTTTTAAAAGTTAATTTAAAAAGTAAACTTTTTGGGCAAAAGTTGCCATTTTGAATCCCTTCCAGTGGGCAGGTAAAGGATCAGATTGGTTTGGGATTGTCACCATGAACGAGGGAAATATATTCAATATTTAAGGGTAATGTCTTCGTCTAGATATTATTTGTGATCTTTTGACATATTGTACATCAAAATCGGTCCAGTGAGAACTGAGAAAAAATGGTAATAGACACACAAAAAAACACATCATAGTAAAATTAAAACCTTTTCAGTTTTACATAGAAAATACTACATTTATATACGAGTTTACAATAATTTCGTGTATAATTCTAAAATCCACTAAATCTATCATTCCAATCATTATTAGGATACTTCGGCCTATGGGGTTTTTCAGGTTCTTTCTTACTACACTTTTGATCAAACAATTTATTTTCTTCATTCCATTTATCTTGTTGTTCCTTATTTTTTTGAGCTACACAAGCTGGACAATCTTCATTGTATTTAATTGAATCATAACAAACATCGCAAGAATTATGAAGACATCCCATAATTATTTCATTCCTTGCAGGTTTATGACAAACAACACAACAATTAGTATCTTTAAATAAAATATAAATTACTATATTGTTGTATATTTATACAGTTATTTTAGATAAAATTTAGAAAATTTACATGGTAAAATTATTGGATATCTTTATAATATTTCATTTAAGCATCGATGTGAAGCTGAGAAGGTGTTAATTTTACTAGGATGTGTTTTTTTTTTGTGACTGTTAGCACTTTTTTTTAACTTTCACTAACCGATTTCAAACAACGATACCTCAAAAGATCACAAATTGTATCCCTTCGATGCCATCACCTCTAAAAATAAAAAATATTTCCATCGTTCATCGTAAGTGGGGGGAATTTCAAAAAAATTATAAATTTAAACATCGGTAATTTTCGACATTTCTTCATTTTTTTTTTACTTAACACTACAATAACTATTTGAAAAATGTACGGATCAAAAATAATTATTTTTTATAGATACCTTAGGTATTTACTTATAATTAAGTATATATTTTTTTTAAATCTGTCCTCTTACCTGTCGACCGTAGGATGTATTTGTGTAATAAATTAAATTATAATCCATATGGTAATTATTTTTTATAATATGCAGGCAAGTCACGAAAATATGATAACAATCAACTATACCTAATATATCTATTAAAATATTGTATTAATCCGTACATTTTTCAAAAAGTTATGGCAGTTTTAAGTAAAAAATAATATCAAAAATTACCAATGTTTAAATTTATAACTATTGTGAGATTCCCCCATTTACAACGAACGAAGAAAATTTTTTCAATTTTTGAGTGTAATGTCTTCGACTAGATACGATTTGTGTTATTTTAACAATAAAAGAAATCGGTTTGGTGAGAGCTGAGAAAAAGTGGTAACAGACACAAAAAAAATATATATATAATAGTAAAATGAATACTTTTTCAGTTTCGCATCGAAGCTAATAAATTGATAACTTTTAGTTGCATATGTTTCTTGATTTATCAGCTAAAAATTACTTTGTAGAATCATCTCTTATGACATAAAATCAATGGCGGCTCGTGGGTTGGACGACGGGACAATCGCATCCCCTACTAAAATGAATTTAAAGAGCAAAATTGATTGTCTATTCTAAATTCTAAATTTTTATTAAAAATGCAAATTTTTAAATAGTACAATAGTTACAATACATTTTTCGTGTGCGAACATTTGAGTTGTTTCCCTCAGATACCCACAGTTCATACGAGTACGCACATTAAGTGTCGGGACAAANTTTTTAACTACGGCAACCGTTTACATGCAGAAGATAAAGTGTCGGGACAAATTTTTTTTTTTCATTTTATAGTACATAAAATAAGCTTTAATTTGATATATGTTTAAAGGACGCAGTATTTCCGGAACATTTTCAAAAATTAGGTTGAAAAAGTTAGTTTTTGTAAAAAAGTTTCTATTTTAAATCCCCCTCAATGAGCAGGTTAAGTGTTAAATTTTCAAAAAAATGATATCAAATAAAAGGGAAATGTCTAAGGTTTTATTATAAAAAAACTATGTTGATTTGTTTATTTTTTAAAAAGTTATGAATGTTTTAAGAAAAAAATGACAATATATAACGCTGCACAAAAGAGCATTGTCGTTCGAGCAATATTTTGAAACGCATATCATAAAAGAGGCGCAACAATCGTGTGCGGGCGGATACAGTTAAGCTGCAATCTTATGCGCACGTTTTGGATGGTAAACATTGTCGTCCATACAGTAAAATATTAGTATATTACTGTATTGGGTAATTTATTTCTAGAATTAATTGCGTGTACGATTGTCGTTATTCGTTTGCTATAACAGTAAAATCGCTATTATTATTATTTTCATTTCTATTTTCTACTGCGACCTTTAAAATAATAATATGTCTATTGTGTTTTATGTTATTATATTTAATTTGATAATGTTTTATACCTATAACTAACGGTATTATATTTGTAGTCGCGCCACCGAGCCGCCACAGCGTAAAATAAGGTCACCTCTATTTTTTAAATGACACATAGAAGCTTTTAAAATAAGAAATGATCTAATTAAAAAATAACTTATGGATAACAGTTTTTGAACCAATATTTCAAAAGTATTTACTATTTAAAGTAAATATACTGGAGGTAGAGTAAAAATATTATGTCCTAAACGGTAGGAGAAGTTGGCACTAAAAATTAAGGTTTTACCACAACAAAACATAATAATAGTTGATTATTTTACCATTAAACTACATCATTGAATTTAAAAATGACAATAATAACTTTTGGGCCAGTATTTTGCAAGTTACTAACATTTTATTGACTAAAAGGTAGGAGGAGTGTGGGTCTAAAAATGTCTAACGATAAAAATGAAATAACCAAAGCATTACCTTCAGCCAATACAATAAATCATTAATTATGTCCAAAATAGTGATCCAATAGTTGTTATCAACCAGTCATTTTATTAAAATCTATTTTATCAGATAGTTAAATATGTGTCACTCTTTGACAATTTAAATTTGATGCCCTTATAAAGTATAAAGGATGATGCTAAAAAATACTATTTAAAATACACACATATTTTTATATTGTTTATGCTTTTTAAATAAAGGTCATGTTTGAAAAATAACGTGACCCAAAAATAAATTTTAACTGCTATTTAGTAAATATTTTTTTTAATATATAAAGCCTTATTTATAATTTAATTTTGAAGTGTATTTGATAATTATTATTAATTTTACTTACTTTTGTTAGCACCACCGGAAGATTCTGGAACGCCTTTGAAATAATAAATATTAAAAATATGTCTATTTTTTTATTAAGCCCCAGATTATATATATCTTTAATATAATTATAGATATTTATAAATAAATTAAAAAAAGTAAATAAACAGAATAATAATTTTATCTGCCCAAAATAAACATACAAGGTCCCAATGCAAGTACAAAAGATATATTTTTAATATTGTTTATACTTTAGATATTTGTAGAATGAAATAAATTAAAATAAAAATTTTATCTGCCCTAAATAAAGATTTTAGACATCCATGCAAATACAAAGGTTATAAAATTATTGTTTATAATTTAATAAACAGTCATGTTCGAAAAATATTAATAAATTCAACTTACCAGACGTGGCTATACACTTTGTCAAGTAATGATCTAGAAAATATAGAATTGTAATAATGATTTACTCAAAGATCTTCTAAAGGTTAGAGTATTTTAGTATCACTAAAAGGATAGTCTGTACACCCGTCAGTTTAGCTCAAAAGTAACAGACCGAGATGTGACGGTCAACAGCATAAAACTACCTTTTCATTCTACCAACTACAAAAATGTTAATCCCAGAAAATAGACACCTCCTACACTAACTTTCTTTCTTTTTGTCCAATGATAAAAATAAAATAACCAATGCCTCACATTCAGTCAGTACTTTAAATCAATAATAACGTTCAAAATAGTCTAATAGATATTATCAACTAGTCATATTATTGTAACCTATTTTAAGTTAATGAAATAATGATGATATGAAAAATACTGTTTGGTTGAGAAAAAATAATAAAATAAAAAGTTAAATTCTAAATATTATATTTATTTTTCGATGAAGTATCAAAGACAAATAAATCACTCTGTATATAAATTATATGTTTATTACCATTATGGATGACCATAAATACCATAGTTGATAAAGAAACTAAAGAAAAGAATTTCTGAAAATCAAATTAAAAAAAATTAATCAATTAAAATATTCAATTTTATAATTATAACTTATAATATATTTTACTTACCATTGCGATTTCTAGAACGACGAAAAAATGTACTTTTGAAAGCAACAAATAAAATAAAANGTTATGTTTTTAAAAGTTTTTAGGAGATATTTTATATTGACTAGAATGAATAGTTTGCTCAGTTGCAATTAGTCGTTATTACAAGTAAATAAAAAAAATGACTAAAACACATAAAATTATTTCCAATAAATAATATCTATAATTTATATGAAATTTGTTGATAGTGTTAAAAGAAAAAAATCGTTATTTTACCACAAGATGATATTTTATGGCGCAGTTAATATATGACCTTAATTTAAAGAAGGTGATATTGAAGAACTAAATTATACATGTATTTAAAAAAAAAAGAAGTGTCTTCTTCTTATTTGATCGTCCTAAACTTTTGAATAAATTTGATTGTATTATTCAAATTCACTCTATACTCAAAAAATATTGAAAACTTGCAATTTTTGGACAGGACAATAATGTTAGGTTCAAAAAACTTTTACACATAATATATGATAGAGTTCAACCACATACTATGTATTAAATATTTTTTTAGTGACAAAATACCTAAACATTAATTTTCTTAAATAGGAAAATTATTTCTGATTTGATTGTACGATACAAAAAACATTTGAAAATTATTTATCCTAATAAATTATTTTTTTAGAAAAACAATTTGCGTGTTAAAATTTATATTTAAAATAGAAATTCATTATTACTTTAGTTTATGTATATTGGTGGCAAAAATATTGTTTCAATAGACTATAAATTATTACCTATAAATAAAACCAACTAATTATACAGAGTGATTTTTTTATCATAACCCACTCAATTACTTACAGAATAATAATAATTTAAAAATTTTTTTTATTATTATCTTTAGTTACACATTATTCTTGAATTATTAACTATGTAATACTTTTTAAGTTCATCCCTTATGCCTGGTATGGGTGTCAACTTTGTTTTTTTAAATGGTAACACATATTTTGAATTTAATAAAATGTTTTAGTTTTTAATTTAATATCAAATGTCATTTAAATTTTTAATATAACTTTATTCGTTTATTAGATATAAACATTTAAAGTTACAAATTTTTGAGTTAATATATAGGTATAATACACAAGGGATTACAAATACAGGTAGCTAATTGATTTTTTATGACATCGATATTAGCAGGTACACAGCATTGTTATTATCAATGATAGTAAGGTACATTGTTATGAGTTTATAAATACACTAACTGACAATACAAAAAGTATATCTATTGATAGTCATAATTGATAATAAACAATCCGTGACTGTGATAGCAATATCATAAAAAACCAATTAGCTACCTGTATTTGTAATTCCTGTAATATACAGAGTGATAAAAAATCACCCTGTATATTCTTGCTATCGAAATACACAATGCAGTATCATTAAAAACTTATGTATGTGATATTATGGCTCGGCCACACAGAAAAATCATATAGTAGCAAACCATGATCATTTGACAGGTAAATCATACACATACCTATGTTAAATGTATTGTAATTAATATAAAAAAGAAATTAAGTATTTATATTTTGTTTCAGGTAGTTTTAGAAAAAAATTTGTAACAATTGCACACTTTATCAACGCCCAATTTTGTTGACGTATATTTTCATAATCTCAGCTCGTACGACGGACACTTTTTAGTTAAAGCCCTTGGAAGAGATACTAGTAGAATCAGTGTACTATCTGCTTTTGTTAACTTAACTATTTATCAATTGTGTGAAATATTATTAAATTAATAAGTGATGAATTATTTTAAAAAGCACAATAATATTTTCATTCGATTATTTATAATAGAGTGTATATTAGTGATAACTCAAATAATAAAAGTGTACAGTAAAAAATCTGATTACTGAAAAACTTCCGAATATTTATCTTGTAACAAACCGAACACTAAAATTAAAAATCGAAATTCACTTGACCTCACTAATCATGATATTGTCAAAAAAACAATTAAAAAAAATTTTTTTTTTTTAATTCTATGTATGATAATATTTTAATTCATTCTGTAAGTGTATTTTAATCATAAGTATAGTAAAATTAAGTTGCTACGTGATACTTAATATTGATACATAGATGTTTACGATCAAATATAAATTAGTTTGTTGTTTAATTTTGGTTAAGAAAAACTATTTTTTCGTGCTTGTATTGAATTACTGATAACTAAAAATTTTGTAAGATATATTTTGATACATTGATTTTATTGTATATAACATTGTTACGATGAAGGTGAAGAGTTTTTTTCTTCGATTAGCAACATTATTTAAATGCTGTGTTTCGGAGAATAACAAGCATAATACAAGTGGTAATGTATCTTAGTTCAATCTAGCTCAGATATTTTTTTAAGGAATAATACTAAAATATATACAAAAAAGTATATTGGAAAATGCAAGAAGATAAAAGTATACTTAAACATAATAAGTAATTTACTATACTGAAATTTGATGTTGCATAATGAGATGAATAATACATTAAGCTGGAAAAATAGAACAATTTTCTGTAAAATATTATAATTAAAATTGTACGAGGGTCTAACGGAAAGTAATGCCTCCACTTCGCTAACTCGGGAAGTAGTGGTTATAAAAACACGTTCGCGGTCTCGTTTGATAGCCTGCAGTGTCTAAAATTAGGATGCGAAGTTTCGTCGCCCTGGATTTTATGGTTTGTATGTAGTGCTATGTCTACGGAAACGAGTTTGTCGACCAGATGCAAGAAACGTGCTGTTATCGAATTTTTAACCGTGGAGAACTGCGCGCCTAAAAAGATTCACGGCTGTTTGAAAGGGGTTTATGGGGATGAAACCAACGACATAAGCAATGTTAGACGTTGGCTAAGAAGTGCTAAAGCGCCCGAAAGGTCGAAGTTATTTGTGGTCGATAAAAAACGGTCAAGACGCCCCAAAACTGCCGTCACCGACTCTCGCGGCATAATCCACCGAGAATTCATGGCCAAAGGCACCACAATCAATTCGAACTCGTATTGTGAAACCTTAAAGCACCTTAAAAGACGAATTTGACGAATTAGATCCGAGTACATAGAGTTTTTGCTTCATCGCGATAATGCGAGACCTCACTGCAGCCGGCAGACTAGCGCCAAAATTGACGACCTGAATTTTGACATCATACCACACCCCGTGTACAGCCTGGATCTCGCTCCTTCCGACTTCTATTTATTCCCCAATTTAAAGGAAGACCTCAGGGGACACCACTTCGAGTCAGACGGCGAAGTTCAGGATTTTATTGAAGACTGGATACGACAACAAGAGCCAGACTTCTTCATGCACGCCTATGACAAATGGATTTAGCGTTTAACCAAATGTATCGAGATAGGAGGGGACAATGTTGAAAAATAAATAGTGTATCTTGTTCATTATACTTTACTGTTTCTTTTGAGACCTGTTTCATTTCGATACGACAATTATAACGGGGTTGAGAGGGGTGGAGGCATTACTTTCTCCTAGACCTTCGTAAATATCGATAGACTATTGCCTAAGACGACTTTAAGACTATAGACTAAACAATGAGTTATAGGAGGTAAATGCTGTTAATATTTTTGTAGATGATTACATTAATGAGACGATGCAACTAACATTAGTATGTTTAATACATTGATTTCATACATTCATCTAAATTTTACATAAATCGATTTTATAAATGACACTTTTTGATGTCTAAGGTATCATAACTTTTTTTTAGTACTCTAGTTGTATTGTAGTCAAAATATTTAAATTATATAACTTTAAAATTCAGGGAAAAATTTTAGGTGATCATGGAAGTTTATTCTTTTTTAATTTAACCATATATATATTTCTAAATAACAGTAACGTCGTAAATTATATAACATACATGAGTTTTTAAAACTAATAGTTTTTTATATGACCACATATTAAAGTTAATAATTGAAATAAAATAAGATCAATATTTTTTTATACTAAAGAAATGCTAATAAATATAATAAAACAAATGATATAAAAAATGCGATTTAACAAAGGTTAAGACATCTGTATAATAGTTAAAACTATTGTTTCACTCATTGTCGGTCATAGTAATGTGAACTCTATATGAACTTATAAGTAAAGTAAAGTTCATGCTCTGAGAATATTTCTGTACTGTTACCTCTGACGAACAACGTCTCTTATTTGATAATTTTGAAGCAGAAAACTGACAAGCAACAATATTTTGCTAACCCCTCCAATAAAAATAAAAATGTACCTATAAGACCGTAATTATTTTCAAATGGGGTGTAAGAACCCTCCCTCTTGGCATCCCTCAAATAGTGTGGTATTGATGTTTTTGGACAGTAACTCAAAAAAGACTTATAAGATACCTATTTTATATAGTTACTGTAGGAATGTTACTAAAAGAAAAAATACTACAACGTAGATAATCAAAAATATTTCGTTTCTTTAGTAAAACTTTGAAAAATAAGTTATTACTTAATTAATTACCACCTTAATTTTTCAATTACTTAATGTACTTGTTATGATTTTTCATATGCATAATTATACAAGTTTAAGTGATTAAATTTTCATTAAAATACTATAATTCAATTTTTTAAGTACAACTATTAATATTAATAACACTAGTCTACATAAAATTTTAATTTAAAATCATTATAACCAAATCCTTTGATTTCATTATTTAAGTCTAGTTGCTTAGTAAACATAATAATATATTTATCTGTCCCAATAGTGTCACTATTGTAACAATTAACTCTAAAAAAATACACATTAGGAATTTTAGTAAGATATTATATTAATTTTATCAAAAATATATAATTTTGTAATTGTTGTTTAGACAATAATAATAATGAAATTAAAAATTATGTCAGGTGGTGTACGTCTAGCTATAACACATAGAATGTATCACAACGCAAATTAAAGATATCGATATTGAAAATGTAGTGTCAGTAGGTGGTGTGTTTACTGTAAAACAGGAGAGTGGTGACGACATGATTCCTGTGGAAAGTATGGATTTACATGAAGATGCGAATGAACTGTTCACTTCCCATATTATAACTGAAGATGATCGCCCAAATAATCGTACGCCAGAACTGAAGTAACAGCTATTGAAGAAGCAGTGTTTATGGAAACGCGTAAACACGAAGTTGTTATACGCTATTTTGGAAAAAATAATAAAGCTGGTAGGATTATATCAAAAAATGGAAAATTTTATAAATTTTATAAGGTAGGCATACTATTTTATTGACATCTACATGATAGATCCTGCGTTTAAAAAAAACCAGTCAAGTTTTTATTACATAAATTAAGGTGGATTGAGTATATGTGCATAAAAATAAAAATCTTAAATTTTTTTTGCTGTAATTGGGCAAAAAATTCTCTTTTAATCAATATAAAAATAGTGCAATATAGTTTTACCCAAAAATAATTGAACAAATCAGGATTCGCAATTTTGTCATGAAATCAATAATATGTATTGGTTAATTTCAATAAATACAGAAAATCCTTTAAAATTGTCTTTTTTTAGAAAGATATTGTTAGTTCTTATCGACATTATAGATCTCCACAAAAAGCAAAGTTTGTTCTCCATGTTTCAAAAACAAATTGGGTGAAGGATGTAGAGATAGTTGGAGACATTTATGGCCAACAATAATTATTGAATGATTTAACGGTATAAATAATTGAATTAATTTTGTTATTTTTTTGTATCTATAGATACTATTATTGTTTAATACATGATCATTATACAGAAGAATGTATTCAATTAGATATTGATTCTTTAAATTTTTACTATCCTTACATTTAAGGCACTAGTACAATCTGCTTGGTTCTACTATTTATTTAGTTATTATTCAAATTTAATATTGTGGCCTCTTGTAATGTGTCAAGTAAAAAATAGTATTATACTTATATACATTATAATACGTGCAAGTTCTTAAATTTATTGTTAAAAATGAAGATTTAAAAATATTGTAAATAATATTTTACGTAATTGTAAATCGATAAACAATATATTGCCATGAATTAAAAAATTCATTTTAATATAATAAGTGTAGTAGGCGTATGTTTAAAAATATAATTTCAGAAAAAAAATATATTTCATAAAAATTGTCAATGTATACTGTGTGTTCAACTTTTATAAATGTTTAAAGAATTATAAAAAATGTATATTTCAATGTTTTAGCAATAGTTTTTTCAATTAATTAAAAAAAAACACAGTGGGGACGTGGCATAGCTGGGTCCAAAATTTGTTTAATCTGGCAGTGATTATAATCGCTATCATAAGAAACGACTGGATGCAAATCTGTTGATAGCGTTTAATTTTAAGAAATTGATAGATTATTATAAAAGCTACATGATCTGCTATCTCCTTATTTATATCCTGATTAAGATAAAGTATGTCGAATGAAAGTGGGATATAAATATTATTTCTCATAAAAAAATTGTATTGATCCATACACTTTTCAATAAGTTAAGATGATTAAGCCGCAACGATTTTTTCCCAACTTCTATGAATAGATTTAAAACCTGAAATTTACATAAGGACTATTTTAATATCTAGCCTATATTTTTAAATCATCTTCTAAGGGACAAAATATGAAGAACTTTTCCTGAAAATTTTCATTTTATCATTTTTCTATAGAATGTGCTTCTATATGTTTGATTTCGAGAAATACTGAATTTGTCATTTTTGGTACACTTGTTTTCTTACCCTAATATGGGATTCATCATTAGCATTATCTCTGTAGCCTTTATCGCAACTATTTGAGATCAGCTCTAACTTATGATTAGGCAAATTTTTTTACAACGGTGTCTACCTGACGCAATCTCATTATGGCTGGGGAGCTTATCCTACTATACGATTAAAAAATAGATAAACTATCTGACGATTTATATTCTATGAGTAATCGGCCTCTAAAGTTGAAATTCATGTAATTTTTGTGGATATGTAAAATTTTTCTTTAATTTGTCTCGATAGGAATTAATAATTATTACACAACAAAAAAGTTAATAATCATTATTATCATAATTGTGTTGAAATCTTGATTTGTGTCCTTAAATACTTCCAATATTACTTTATAAACTAATTCATAATATTAATTATAAATTTAAATTATTCAAGGAGAAAAATTTTCTCCTTTATTTTTCATTTTTTTTTTAGATCCACAATTTTCACACGAGCAGCAAATTTAAAAAGTAGATATTTTAGATAAAAGCTTGAAACGTATATAATTGCACAGTTGGAACCTTTTTTTTTCGTGATTATTTGCAATATAAATCATGTAAATTCCCTAAAAAAAAAAAATCTGTTTAATAAACAGATTTATTAGATGACTTATATTTTTTCTAAATTACTAATACCAAATATTTTGTTTGCATGACAACTGTTATTAATAAATTCTCTTTTAACCAATAACTTTACCAAATTTTCATTTTATGAACTTATTATAATCTAAAATATATTCAAAATACTATAATATCAATATAATGATTCTACGGAAAATTATCTATAAATTATTACAGTATTACTGAAAGTTCCATGAATGCAACGCATTTAAGGGATACATTTTTTTTAGATTTATTCCGTATTCCTAATAAGAATACCAACTTTATTTTAGCTTCGATGCGAAGCTGAGAAGGTATTGGTTTTACTATGATGTGTTTTTTTTTTTATTTTTTATTTTTTTTTGTGTCTGTTACCACTTTTTCTCAGCTCTCACCGAACGGATTTCTTTCAACGATACGTCAAAAGATCACAAATCGTATCTAGTCGAAGACATTACCCTTCAAAATTGAAAAAATTTCCCTCGTTCCCCGTAAATGGGGGAAACCTCCAAAAAAATTACAAATTTAAAAATCGCTAATTTTTGAAATTTTTTAAATTTTTTTTACTAAAAACTGCCGTAACTTTTTCAAAAATGAACATATCAATATAATTTTTTTTTTTATAGATGCTTGATGTCTTTACTTATCATTTGGTATATTTTTTTTGTAAATTTGACCTCTGGACTTGTCTTTATGGTGAAAACAGCTACCAAATGCTATTTTTGTGTGAAAATTTTCGATTTTATAATTTACATTTTTTAATTTAAAGTGCTATAACTTCTTAAAAAAATGTATGGATCAATACAATTTTTTCATGAGAAATAGTATTTATATACATCTTTCATTGGATATACTTTTTTTTTTAATCAGACTATTTACCTATATATGGGGGAGCTTCAAATATAAAAAATGCATATAGAAAGTAGAACTTTTTCAACTTAACTTTTGAAAATGTTCCGGAAGGTCTGACACTTTTATATATATCTTAAATTAAAGCTAATGTAATGTACTTTTATTTGAAAAAAATAATTTGACCTCTGGACTTGTCTTCATGGTGAAAACGGCTACCGAATGCTATTTTTGTGTGAAAATTTTCGATTTTATAATTTACATTTTTTACTTTAAAGTGCTATAACTTTTAAAAAAATGTATGGATCAATACAATTTTTTCATGAGAAATAGTATTTATATACATCTTTCATTGGATATACTTTTTTTTTTAATCAGACTATTTACCTATATATGGGGGGGCTTCAAATATAAAAAATGCATATAGAAAGTAGAACTTTTTCAACTTAACTTTTGAAAATGTTCCGGAAGGTCTGACACTTTTATATATATCTTAAATTAAAGCTAATGTAATGTACTTTTATTTGAAAAAAAAAAATTTGACCTCTGGACTTGTCTTCATGGTGAAAACGGCTACCGAATGCTATTTTTGTGTGAAAATTTTCGATTTTATTATTTATATTATATTTAACTTTATAATGGTATAACTTATTGAAAAGTTTATGGATCCACACAATTTTTTTTTGAGAAATAATATTTTTTAATAAACCTTTTTTCATTCGACATAANTTATGAGAAATAATATTTTTTAATAAACCTTTTTTCATTCGACATACTTTATCTTAATCGAGATATTAATAAGGAATCAGCAGATCAAGTAGCTTTTGGAATAAAACACCAATTTTTTTAAAATTAAACACTATCTAAAGATTTGCATCGAAGCGTTTATTTTTGATAGTGATTTTAATCACTGTCAGATATCATTATATTTGATCCAACTATGCCACGACCCCCCTGTGCTGGGTTTTTTTAATATTAATACACATTATTCAATAGACCAACTATTAAAAATTGATTCTACTAAAAAAATGAACAATAATTGATGTACAGTATTTCGAAAATTATAATATGTAAGAAAAGTAATTAAATTTTTTTTAATTACCGCCTATATTTATTTAGTTTTCATGAGTACTACCCCTCCATAACCCACTAAGTTTCGGCACTGCTGTTTTATATAAATTAGATATAAAATAATGAGTTAAACAAAATACATAAATAAAAATAACAATCTTTCTTTTATTAAGTAACAGTACTTTTATAAAAATAAATAACAACTTTTATTGAATTGTTGACAAACATTTTCTATTTTTTTGTTCAAAAGATATGTCAATATTATCGTCAAAACTTATGTTTGGATATGACATTAATTTTTATCATCATTTTTTAATTTTTGTTAACCAGACAAAATTTTATTTATCCTGAGTTATAAATAGCATATTTTTATTAGTAATATTAATTATTAATACTATTATTAGTAATTATTATTTTTCGGGAGCCCCCTTTAAAATGCAAATGTACAAATATACCAAATGTCCTTTCAAAAATATGTCACTGTTTAGAATACTCAATGACTCTGAATATCAGCGACACTTAAATAAAAATTGAGAACAGACTAATTGGAAGTTAATAGTTTTACCTAGTAATAAAATATAAATAAAAAAAATCATGAAAAATGTATTTTTATAAAAAGAAAATCTTTTAACCAGATTGTTACAGATTAAAAAACTTCAAACACTTCTTTGTAATACTCCATGCATTCTATGCACTTCAATTCATACTTAGTATAAATTTAACTATTCCTAAGTTGTATCAGAAATAGCAATATTTACAGTGTAATATTATAACTTAATTCAAATACATTAATCTTGAAACCATATTTTTTTCAATAAAAAAGATTTTATTAAATTTAAATAAATACAGTTTAATAAGTTTGTATAAAATTATGAAATATTAATTATAAATAGATTCAACAAAAATCATTTGCAGACTAACATTTCTGTATTACTTTTGTTAAGAAATCAGTTTTATTTAGACCATTGACATCCAATAATGAGATACCCAATTGATTTTCTATTGGGTCTGGTTGAGCTATGTACCTTAACCACCGTTTTGATATTTGTGCAGCTTCATCTACAGTTAAATTACAAACACTGTCTGTAAGATATGCCTGAATCCATTTGGGCAATTTTGTTCTTTTATCATGCCTAGCAAATCTTTTATCAGCAAATACCATTATTCCATAATCCATTTTACCTCTAATGGCTCGACCTACACATTGAGCCGTATGTCGCATTGCATCAAAAGTTAAAAAATCACCTTCTGATATTTGATACTGGCTGCATAAATATTCCATACGTGCTTTTAATATACGACATTGCGTATATACATATGGCATACCCATGACAATTACAGCTCGACCATAATGGTGATCAAAATCCATTCCTTCCGATACTTTACCTAAAATATAAATAAGTATTACTGAATTTAAATAAATTAGAATAAATTGATAAATTTCTTTAAAAACTGTTTTTAAATAATCATATACTGAATAAATTATAAAATACCTCTAGCTACTGAAAGTAATAATGCACCTTTTCCTCTTTCTACAGCTTCTGCATAACACTTTATTGCATGATTTGTGACTACAATATTTTGTGTTTCAATAAAGATTAATTTGTAGTCTAAAATTTTCTCAATAATTCCTTGATCATACCAAGCGGCAACTACAGATTTCATATAAAGATATGATGGAAAAAAACATACAACACCATCTGGAACTACTTTCACCATTTCTAATAGTAAATGTCCATAATTACGAGCAACAGAAGAATCTTCTCTCGATTCCCATTTAGAAGTCAAAGCGACTTGATCATTACCTCTACCAACAACCATGGGTAAAAAGCATTGCCTGGACAAAGTCATGGTCAATGATGTCATTATCACTGGATTAATGTTGAGAATTTTTGGATACATATCAAGTGGAGACAACGTTCCTGATGTTATAACAACAGTGTTGAAATAATCTAAAATAGGTTTAATAGCTATAGAAGCATCTAAACAACTAAAATGCATCACACAACTATCAGTTGAAGATTTTTCATCAAATGGTTCAATTATAATCATAAAGCCTTTCATGTACGTAGAAACTAAAGTAGCAAATTGTGCAACTGTAATTAATGATGAAAAATCAACTATTTCAGAAATTTCTAGAGTTTTTAATAAAGAAGACAATCGTTCTGTACAAAATCTTAAAGGTTTTCTATCTATACAAACTCTTTGATACACATCTTTAATAAACATTATGGGTGTCTCTTGAACAACTGTTGTAGCATTCATTCTTAGCTTCAAGTACATGATGAACCTTCTCATGAAACCAATATAATGTTCAGCACTACGTATACTACCTGGAAGTTCAGTGATTTTTAATACCTGGTCAGGTACAATTGGGTTTGCTAAAGCAGCATTAGCTTCACGGCTCTTATAAATTTCTCTAAGCCCCTCCACCATTTTTCTGTATTCTTCTTTCAATCTTTGAGTATCTCTCTCTTTCATTGCTGTAACTTCACTATCAAGTTTATTTAATCCATCAATAGCTTTATCTAGATTAATGCTTGTAATGTGAGAGCTCAAAGAGTCAATACAGACATTATCTATATTATGAGCTTCATCAAAAACAACAATACTGTTTTTGTTGAAATCTTTTGAGACAATACCAGCAATTTTTGGATCTAAGAGATAATGGTAACTGTATATAACAACATTAGCATGTATAAGTGTTTGTCTTGCTAAAAAATATGGACATACACCTTGTTTATTACCTAAATCTTTCAAATCTTCTAAATTGTAGATATTAGGGGGTAATATAGTATCCTTACCCAATGAATCAAGTTTTTCATAAAAGGTACATATATTTACATCTTCACCATCAGCATGTCGAGCTCGTACAAATGGTGCAGTTAAAGCATGACAACGAGCATCGACAATACGACCATTATGTTCACCCGCTACAGATGGATGAATACAAAGATTTTTTCGTGCTGAAAGAATTACACCAAGAATTTTGGCATCTTGATTATTTGCACTGTAATAATCACACAAAACTCGTAACTCTTCTGCAGCTTTTTCAATTTCAGATAATGTTCTTGTACTATATAATAACTTGGTTAGTTTTGCTGGATATTTTAACATATATGCAACTATTAAAGAGAGCACCGTAATAGTTTTACCAGTTCCAGAAGGCATCTCAATAAGACAGTGTCCTTTAGCATCAATACCTTTTTTCAGCTCCACCATATATGCATATTGCTCTGGATAAATATATTCATAAGGAAAAAGAACTTCGAGTTCATCTATAAGGAACTTCATTTTGCTTAAAAATATCACATAAAAAACATTAATTTAAAAACATCATCTTCGAATTAAAAAGTAATTATTAATTGGGAATAAATAAATTTAAACATTTTCACGTTTGTTTATTATCTTATAAACTATAAATGTTATCAATTTGATATCAGTAATGTATCTGTTCTTTATCTAGAAAAATTCTTTGAAATAACAAACCATAAATAGTAGGAAAATTATTTGAAAACAATAATTAAATTTAAGAAATTGATGTAACTAAAAATTTAAAATTATATTTTGATCTTTGTTTTAAGTCAATATTTATTATATTTTTAATATACGAAATAATTTTATGATTCCACCTTAAGTATTTATTAATTTAATTTTTGTTTATTCTACTCAACTTAAAGCTAATTTAATATTTCATATCATGGTTAATAATTTTTCATAATGTTAAATTTATTAATAATTCTACCAAAAGATCAATTATTTTTAAATAGATATTAAAAATATTATTATACTAAATAAATTAGATTACATCAATAATGAAGATACATTTAATTATGTATCTTAATCATTCCACTTATAAGCTCATAATAATTTAAATATACTTTGAAAATTAAACATTTTAAACCATCATCTGTGATATATTAATATATTAATTATAATATATACATCAATTAATTAATATATTGTGATATATCTTATATGTAAAATTATTTTCATATACTGATATGCTATTTAGTTTCATTCTATGTTATTAAAGAAAACTTAAGATATATATTATTTTATAATTTTGTTGCAAAAAAAATTTGACTCTTAAATTTATTATTAATACATTAATAATAAATATTATTAGTAGTAGTATTTTCAATGTTATTACATAATTAAAATGTTTAAAATAATCCCAAAAGTTCTTTTTCTGAAATTTAAATATAATTATACTAACTCAGCAGTCCTTAATACTACACAAGGTGAGAATTTATTTTTTAACACACAAGAATTAAAAATATTCTTATATAATTATAGTTTAATTCATTTTAAATCTTAATATATGCAATTTTGAGTCAAAACCATTATTATTCAGTTATTTAAATAGTATGTTACATGCACTATTACAAATGCATAAAATAACAAAATGTTAATGTAAAATGCAAAACAAAATGCTGAGGTCTAATTTTATTTTTCTCGAAAAAATATATTTGTATTAAAAAACTTGTAATTTAAAAAAAAAATAGGGGATAAAAATCAAATGTGAGGATTGTTAACACTTATAGAACCCCTCCCAAATGTGCCTACAACTATATATTAGTAATGTAATAAAGGAATGGAATTTGAGTATTGAAAAAGTAGAATGGACAATAATAAAACAATACACAAAATTTTAATTTAAACTTACTTCAAAATAATTTTTTATTAGACACACTTTTTTTGTAAAGGCTTACAAAATTATTTACAAAGAACAATAAATATATGAAAATACATATATGTATGTATACATAAAAAAATGAGAAGTTTCATCATGTTTAATGATTAAAACTACTAATACAGGTGATAATTCACCAATATTATCAATGCAAAAAAAAAAAAATGAGATCTAAGCTTTAAAAAAATATTTTTTTTTCATAATTTTTGAATATTTTTATAAATAAATATGCGAAACATACTTAGAGAGCAAAGTACACTTGTATAAAATATCTAATTATATGTAAAAAACTTTTCTTGCTAAATCTATGTAATAATATTAATAGTAGTAATAATAATAGTTATATAAATATTTAATTTTAATCATTAATTATCAAATGCGTCTCGAATTAAAGTAAACTGAGATTCTGTAAAAATATTGTGGTACTTAACAAAACTATACACCCAACATATTTAATGTTACATGACAATATGTATATTTTCTTTTTCGCATAGTATATATATTTAAAAGACTAGAAAACAAATAATATGTACACATATAAAACAAAGGGAAAGTAAAACATGGGAGAAAGAAATACACTACTCATTGAGGAAAAATAAATAAAAAATAAATTACAGTTATATTGTCAAAAACAAATGAGTAAAACGAATTGCAAACATTTTTCAATAACTAAAAAACAGAAAAAGACATATAACTCTAAGTCAAAAATGTTTGAATAAGTCGATTATTTGTTTCACATGCTGTTGTAAACAGTACTATTAAATTTCAGCTGTTTGAAAGACAATTTGGTGAGAGGATGAGATTTTCCTTGTTGCAGTTTGTTATTTGCTGCACGGTTGACTGATGCACATATGTCACTTTTAATGGGTAACACGACCGTTTTAACCACAGGATTACATTCAAGAGGTTTCTTGATAAATTTTCTAGGCCCAATAAATGCATCTAAGCTTGAGTTTCTTGGTGGTATTGGTGGTTGAGTTTTGCTATACAGGCATTCACTGTTTTGTACAAACGTTTTACTACGACTTCGTCCATTTTCATACTTGCCTACCAGCTTACGAACAGATATATCTTCCATTGATGCTGCTGGGCTTGGCCGTTGATTCATTTTAGGATGTTCACTAACGGGAGATGAAGGTAGACTCTTTACAAGTTCAGTGGTGTCCTCTTCAAAACCACCACAACATTTTCTTGTTTTACTAATATCTACTGTATCTATTGCCTTAGCTTCAAATTCTTCTTTGAGACTCTTGACAATACCACTGTGTTGTTTACTCATAGAATTTCCCAAACCTGATATGTTTGGTTGAGATACAGTGACTCGATCAACTAATTTGGGAGAACCATGCCCAAGTGTAGGTGAACTTGCATAACAGTTAGGTAACAATTTTTGCTCTTTTTGCTTTAGTTTTCTATCTGGACTCTCTTGAGTTACAGTAGAAGTTTTGGCGTCTGGCACAGATTTTTCACCTCGCTCACTTACATACTGCATAGTAGGCCGTACATCATATGAACCCCATGAGCTATTTCTAGAAGGTGGTGTGCGTGTATCGCATGAACCCCAAGAACTATGTCTGGATATGACATCTCGAAGCACTACAGCACTATCATAAGAGCTCCATGAGTTTTGTCGAGACACATCACTTGTGTGTTCAGTAGGTTCTCGTGATTGTTTTCGTTCTTCCCGTTCAAACACACGGTCTAATCGAGATGAAAAAGGGTCACCATCCCGTTTGTGATATGCAATAGTCCCAACTGTTGCTGCAGGTGGTTTGCTTAAAGTAATTTGATTAAACTTAGGTGATTCTGCTGAAAGAGGTTTGACTAGAATTTCGTCAGGAGAATTGGTCACACTGCTAGAGGAGACCACACCTTCAAATTGAGAGGTGAGATTTAAAACTAAATTTCGTGAGGGATCCACCACAGATTTTCGATCAGGACTAGAATTTGTAGTTGTAGATGAAGTGTTGGAAGTTAAGGACAAGCTGCCAGCATTATTTGATTCCAGTTCATTTACACGTAGTTTGACTGACGAGGGTCTATAAATACCATGTATAATAATATTAATTTATTGAGACAAAAACGTATTTATTTTAATATGTAACAATTTTTATAATATATAATTACCTTGGAGGGGGTGTCGACTGCAGCTGGACAATTTTGTTCTGAGAAACACTGTACGATCTCAGTCCATTGCCACAAGGCATACAAACGCTCACATTATATTTATGAACTTCAAGAGGAGGAAGTGGAGGCGCTGGTGGGATATTGGGTACTTCCACTTCTACTTCTACAGGCACTTTATCTACATTAATCTTTTCTAATGATTGTGACAATAAAGCTAAAACAAAATAAACAATGAATAAAAAAGTTAGAATAATTTAATGATCTGGAAAACTTACCTGAATTAGTTAAAATGTCCGCAGCAAAATTGTTTTCAGGCGACCAAGACTTTGGCCTACTACCACATTTCATTAATTCACATCCACTTACATCTAATTTAGGAGGCAAAAGATGTATGGGGGACTTGGACGCTACAGGTTTTTCTTTATCTTTTTCGAGGAATCTTTCGTGGTTTGGTGAGGTAACGTTTTTGTCTCCTTCACTTTGTGACCTGGGACTTTCTAGAGGTTTTTTGGGCGAGTTAGGCGGTGTAATGAGACCTGATGTGGCAATTAAATTCGTTTCCGACTTAGATCGTTGTAATTTTTCGCGATTTTTCATGGCCGCTAAAATGCCCTGATAAGTCTCTAGTTGAAGAATGAAATGCTTATTGGGTTTGATACACGTGCGCTTTGACCGGACATGATCAAAAGCCTTCCGAAACGACCAATTGTAGGCTTTCATAGCATATGCAATGACCACACTGGCCGAACGGCTAACGCCCATTTTGCAATGAACTAGCACCTTGGAACCTTCTTTTCTGTAGTAAAATTTTATAATTATTATGTTAGAAAAAATGTTGTAATGGAGACTGAACAATTTTTATAATTTTCATCGATACTTACTCAGCATTTGTGATGTACTTAAATGTATTGTCCCAATGTTTTAAGAGATCAGTCTTTTCATCATCATACACCCTAACATTAAGGTATTTGAACATGCCAGGGAAAAAATTATCTATTTCTCTAGTCACATTCAAGATATGTCGAACACTAAAACACATCGACATGGAAATTTTAGTTTTTAAGCGCCAACAATTCATTAAACACTTACCCATTCCTATTGAGTTCATCGAGATTTGAAGCATTCCACTCTGAACCCAAATATACGTGTGGGAATATTTCAGTGGCAGCGTCCATTTGCCCCAAGACGGTGAGCATTTCTTGGTCAATGAACGGCTTGTATTCGCCCAAGTCCATGTCCAAGGTTTCCTCCAGCCGCCCTCTGATAAACTTGGAAGTGACTTCGTCGAGGTCTACACTCATCATGATCTCTTTGAGAGCACTGCGAATTACACGTTCCGTTTCTTCACGTTCGCTAGGTCTAAATGAAAATATTATGTCAGATTTACTTATGCCGCGTTTAAAACGAAATTAAACCGAAAGGTCACTTACTTTGTCCTCAAAGAATCTGGCGACGGAGGCCGTCGGGATTCTATAGAATCCATGGCGTTCCATTCGTTTAGGCACGACTGGTCCGAGGATATCTGACATTCGTAGTGCGATATCCAGTCGTGGGTAAGGCCGCCGTCGAAGAAATTGTGTTCCCTGGCTTGGGCGCTTACTCGATGAAGGGACTGGAGAGCTGACCTGAAAGCACATATCAAATAAATTATAATTGTCTGAATGATTTGGTCAGGAAGAAAATGAAGTTATTTACGGCAAGAAACTAAACGGTATTTTTTTTCAACTTCAGATATTCAAGTAACGATGACAAGCAAACGGCCCGAGAGAAATACGCGAAAAGTTTTTTTTCAAATTACACAAACTATTGTTAGACAATAAAAAAATATTACAAGGGAAAGGCTGTTTAACTCAAACAATATGAAAGCGACAATTGCCCATGAGACTAGTGGTTTGAACTCGTATTACATATATTGTTATCTTACAGACGAAAAAAAATCTTGAAAGATTTCATTCAATCGTCTTTTTGTCTAACCTATAGCGGTTTGAAAAAAAAAAGTGCAGTCATATATCTTAGTAAAATTCATATGTGAATAACTTTCTTCCTGGCGTTAATAGCAACCGCCAAAGACTCATTTTAGACAGATTTTTCACGACACATAAAAAATACGACACAATCGGAGAAAGTCAAATGACGCTCTTCTTAACGTGTTGTACGATTGGCCTAAAGCCATACGGCGCAATAAATATTACAATAATCTTCCGTTCAAAGTGTGCACAAGTTTAGATGTAAACGGTTCCCATAAAAAAGCGAGCCGAGTTAAAAATTATCGTCATTTTATTATGGTTGACATTTAACTTGGCGATCGTTTTACTCGGCGTGTATTCGTTGATAAGATAATACTCAAACTGCGTTTCTGAAAATTAATGAGAGGATATGATTAATGATATTTTACGATAAACGTTTGTTGTTTCGATAAACTTGACATTAAGACATCGAATGGATATGTGGGCTAACCTCCTGTGTGATGAGCATCTACTCTCCGAGATCTGTTGCGCAGAATAATCCGATCGGATGATAATAAAAACAGAGAAAATTAAGCAACCAAAAATAATCTGACATTTTACTGTTTTTCTTTTACTTTGTCGGAATACGGTCGCCACAAAATTCGTAGAGAACTCGTAGAAATAAATAAATTATTTAAATGATAAAAGTCAATTTGAAGAACACGAGGGCGATGAACTGAGATATGTCTGAAATCAGATATTCGAACGATATCCGAGTTGTACATAAAAAAAAAATGAATTTCGTACACATTAATTGGCGCCAGACAGCTGCGAGCGAATGTATATATTTAGTATCTAACCGTTTCGCAATAATTCCATTAGAACACATGCGTATAAGTACTTGGAAAACTAACAAAAATGTGTTATCCGACTATAATCTTCAAGGGGAACTAATTTTCATATCATGTAAAACGATAAATTTGTTTTGTATGATATTAAATAATTTTATTCATAAACGATGCGAATGAATTTTTCATCCAAGTCATTAATTTCGACAATGAATATAAATTAGTCGTGAAAACTTTGTATAGTTTTCATGTACAAATTGTCATGAAAACTATCAAGTGAATAATGAATAAATCACAGTCGGTGGCAATTTTGGCCATCTAATTTGCGATTAAACAAAAATCAAATGTATAAACTGTTTTTTACAAAAAGACATTTTAATGATTCCAACGGCGGACGAATGACCTGTATAGGAAAACAATCGTCACGATACAACAGTTTTTCACGGCTGCTTTGATATCCCGTGCTGTGCTACGATTTCGCGACACTAATTACGATTTTATTATTGTAATGGGTTTATTAAAAAACCATCGATCACACTTTCTTTTTTCTCTTTTCCATTGCACGTTGTCACCCCCAAACGACGGCGATTGCAGTCGCCCGAGACCAGACCTTCGATACGCTGTCGTCAAGATCATATTACGCGGCGTCGCGAAATGGCCCGTTTGTGTATTTTTTTATTCTGAATAACAATAAAACAGTGAAAAAACAAGAGGAGGGACCGAGGAAACGCTATTGATTAATAGGCGACCCGATTCTCGGTCACCGTAACTTATCACTAAATTATTATGAATAACGCGAAAATGAGAAAAAAAATACTTCAAATGCGAAAACGGTTTGGATGAACAAAACACGATTTACTTTCGAATGGTTTTTTAGAAAAGCGAATCACAGCAAACCGACAAATCGGCGAGCACAGGCCAATTCGGAATGATTTCGGTCGGTTTTCCGCGACGGTTTCATTAGATTCTCCTCCTGGTGCGTTCTAACCATAACGTCTAGCGCGTCGCAGCCGTTTGAGAAATTAAAGAACTGGTCGGACAACGTGTGCGGAATTTTTCTAAAAAAGCGCCTCGTGTCTACGCGGCTTTGGAAAAAATTATTAATAAATGTATTACTGTCTGGAAAAAGCACACGGCGGCGACGAGTCGTCATCATTACCGAGAAAACGTTTCGATCCAACGCGCTCTGTGCGACCAATGCCCGTCCGCCGGTAAAAGGCAAGTGGACTTTGGGGTGTACGGTAACGGGGAGGGAAGGCCGCAGACGCCCCGAAATTCAGGCGCCATCGGTAGTTTTAATGGCGGACGTCAAAGGGGAAAAGCTGATTTATCAGCTATAAAATACGATTTCAAAAGGGGAGAAGGAACAAAGGGTTGGCCGTAAAAACTTTCATTGTCGAAAACGAGTGCGCGAAGATCTCGACGAGTGCTTCATTTTCGAATACCAGTAGGACGCGTTCAGTCGAGCATCCCAATGGCATTTTTTTATCGTCAAATATTAGACGCGTGTGACGTTAACGGTTAATTATGCGAACCGAGTTACTAACGATGATACGACAAGTGACCTTTCAGATATCGTTTTGTTGCCAAAGGCCCGTTTAAGAACAAACGAGGCGCGGGTGTGCTACCTGTCAATGGCCGGATTGAGTTTTAACGAGTCCGGCTAATTTTATCTGGTCACGATTAAAGAAGACGGGACAGGGGGAGATTAACGGGTACACTACTCGATATGTCAAGGGGGTTTGACGAACTTTTCAACGGATCGTTAGCTCTAATGTTGGCAGCGCGTTCGAAAATACTCCAAGGGTTGTTGTTGTTGTCGGGACGAGTGCTGAGACGCGGTTGCCAATTGGACAGTGATAAAGCTCAAGACCCAAATAAAGTTTTCGGTACGCAAATAACGTTGGAATAAAATAATAATAAAAAAAAAAACGTTGTTATTTACTAGCAGCACTGCGTCCCGCGTTTGATTCTCGTTTATTGTGTTTGTACAAACTCTACTGTGTGTACCGAACAGCGCCAGTGCACATCGAAAGCAGCCGATTAACGGTATTTGCTAAACTGGCGCGTGTTTGTAGAGGAACCGGTTCGGACGAATATTTAGCAGCCTTTGTATCGTTTTGTTTTACCGATATCATGTTGAGATAATTTATCGGCTCGTGATCGCAATGACCCAAACATTTCAGTCATTACAGACAACGGCCGTGATGGTAAAAAAACACAGTACAACGGACACGGCGGTGTGATGAGATGAATAATAATAACAATGGCAAAACTCGGTCACGAGCACAAAAACTACTGAAATCCGTCAGTCTTCTCTCGAGAAGGCCGTGCAAAAGCAATCGAAGAATTCAAAGCCGGCAAATGACCTACAAGTGGAAAAGCTGTACTTTTATTTTTTACATATTGTTATTAATATTTTTTATAAAAATCATAAAACGGATCGAGAGACTATAAAAAAAAAAAACACGACATTTTACTATTTGGAATATTGTTATTTCTTCAGAAACAACTCCGAGAACTGGTGATGGCGTCTAAAACGAACAAACTACTGCGAAGATGACACATTGCAGTATAATAACAACATGTTAACTTCACAGATCATTTAGTTTTAATTATAATATCGTTACTGACAGACGACAACAGCCCCGAGCGAGGCAATAATTGTTTTTAATAATAACCGAAAAAACCAAGCTCAACTGCTACAATATTATAATATGAAATTCGAAACTCGGTCTCGTTTAGATCTGAACAAGTTGATGACTTTTTGAGTATTTACAACGAGTTTTAAAAAAATCGTCCGTACAGTTAAGTTTGTGCCGAAATAACAAATCATCAATGAAGACGACACATCTTATCGGTTATCTCAATGCCAACGAGATTTATTGAACTTTTTTCACAATAACTTTTAGTTTCATCAAATAAACGTATTATTATTTCTTAAAAATTTAAAAATTAAAATAATACAATGCAAAAATCACGAATTAACGTTATTATCAACGGAGGTGTTGAGAGTCGAGGGGAATTAAAGTTTAATGATTTAGCATACGGTAAAAACCTATCCGTAAAAAAAGTAAATTGGTGTAGCTCGAACAATGAAAACGATTTTCGATCAACACCGATGGGCATACCGACTCACGAATTAACAAGCCAGTAAGTCATGAGGATTATACGTGAGAATTGTGGTTTGTTAGGATTGTATAAAAAAACAAAAATGTTTAAAGACAAACGACCCAATTGTATAAAACGCGATGGTCACGATTGCACAACAATTAATACAGAGTATAATTAAAACGACCTCCGCGCAAACAGTTATGTCATTTGATTACAAAATCTTCAGAATTACTAAGTGGAAAAACTGTTAAATGACACAGTTGTGTAGATGTCTCCAATTCGAAATTATCTTCAACACAAATACCGAAGTGACAACACATTACCAACACACTTGGGACACGGAATAATCGTTTTTACCAAGAAAAATAATCTATCTGTACATAAGAGGACAATTTTATGAACGAAATGTCGTCTGAAAAATTCATCGAGTTTAAATCCTTTTGTCAACACTTTGCACGTAGGAAGTGTAAAGAAGGTAACTTTTATGGCGTTAGATTAAACTCGAAAAATAACGAATAGAATTTCCACATAAAATGCCCCAGTTACAACGACCAACTTTAAAAGTGTCCTTACACACTGTGTACGTGGGGTGAAATCAATTTTTCAGTGCGAGTAACATCTAGAGAAATTTCGAAGGTCAGCCGAAAAAAGCTTTTGTGGTATAAAGAAACGGATTATTTTTGAATATGCTCAAATAGCGTAATAAAATAAAAACTGCAAAATTATATCGTTACTTTTAATGGTTCGGGTAAAACTATTTAAAATGAAAACGAGGGTATTTTAAAGGGGCATGTCTATTAAGTTAATACCTCATAAAACGATAAAAACATCCGCCATGTCTAAGCGAACACTTTGCAAACGTGCGACGATTCACAAAGGATGAAAAAAATACCAGAAAATTTTTAAAAATTCCACAGTCGTCTTCCCATTTTTAAGACAAATGCGGCGGCTAAAGGACTTTTGGAATTGAATTGTTTTATTTTCAGTAAAAGTGTCGCACGTTTTACTTGCACGTCAAATAATACCGACGCATAAATATTAGAATAAAAATAAAATACCTAAAAATAAGATGACGATCAAAATAAATAGAAAAAAAAAAAACAAAATTCTCGTCGAAAGACATAAAACAATGGGATCATTCACACGCGTGCCTAATTACTAATGTTGCATTTGGTATAACACGTTCAGCATAACATCTAATCGGAGAATTAGACACAACAATATTGTGGAGGAGGAGCCGTCGGACGTGGATTGCTACAAAAGTGAATAAATCCAACCGATGCCCTCACTGAACCCCAAAAAGAATCAAGTGTTGCGCTTCTTCTAATACGGTCTCGTCATACCAATAACACACTTCTTTGTTGGCGTTACTTGTTGTAGTTTACCCGTGTTTTTTTGGTCGGAACACAGTTGTTAGTACTTCTACTATAGATGAGCATATTACTACAATAATCACGTACCCAACTCGTTCGCCTAAAATGGTATAACGAACACATTTGGGTTTTGTTTAGAACGAATCGTAGAGAAGTTCCCAAGAAGAATTTCTTTTCAGCGCAAACAAATCGATCGAAACGAAAAATCTTTATAAATTCGTGAGAATGATTAACGATAACTTTGGAGCTCAATCTATTGGCGACACCATAAGGTCACGGGAGTGCGACAATCATTAGCAGAGTGTTTGGTAATTTTGAATTTCATGTCGATTCCAGTAGCAATCGATGAAGTATTAATAACTACTAGTGAGATTTCTATTTGAAAGTAGAACGGTCGGTCAGCGTACAAATATGAACTACAATAATATGTTTTAATATTCAAACGGAACGAACGATAGACATTCGATAATAGGAAAATAGAACTGGTGTTTATATTAAGTCACAATGGCGTTAAAATATTGCAATGGACGGCTGAAATAGACAACAGAGTATAAACAGCACACGAGTTTAGTAAAGAAATACCATAGGGAACCTAAAACAAACATAATTGAAACGATAAAAACGTTAATAAAAGCCATTTACTAAAAGTTCATGAGTCATGTGAAAAATAAAACTTGGGTTAAGAAGTTCTACCATAAAACACGGTCCGTATTTAGATAGAGCAAAAAATAGGGTTAAACTTTGTCAAGGTCATAGAAAACATCATCATTATTACTATGGCAACCTCGGCAGTGCGATTTTGTAGCCTTTTTTTTTTTTCTAGTGCTTTGACATGATCGTTTTAAGGCCGTACTTTGGAATGCTGGGAAAATATACTTCTTCTAAAAATATAATATCATAAAATATCACAGATTTGACTATGAAAATCGAATAAAAAAATATTACAATTCACTTTTGTTGTTAGACTAGATTGCAGCGGAAAAAAATTGTTTTTCCGTGTACAACAAAAAATATAAAACAGAGTTGTATGTTACAAATCTACACAAGTATGATCAATGTTACACACATACGTGCAAATACGCGTTCATGACAAAAAAAAAAAAATGAATTTCTCATTTCCACACACGATACGAGATTTTAAAAATAATTATGGTTCGTATTACACGGAAAGATAATTCGAACGGATTTTTTTTCATACTAATGATACTAATTGGTCTCGTCGGGAGTTGGCGTGTTAATAGTTACACTGACCGACACACATCCGATAATGTCAATAATAAAAAATAATTGCGATTTATGACCGTCGGCGATAATCCTCTCAAAACGATCTCATTTATACATAACAAGCGAGCCAGACATTTGTTCTTAAAATAGTCTTATCAATTGCAATAACGGAAAAGAAAGGTAATAATAACACAGTGCGCTACATAATTGTCGGATTGTATTTGCGGCGTATAACATTTATGTACAATAAATGAAATCAATTAAACTGATAATTTTGCATTTTAATGTCAGCAAACTTGTGTTTTGTCAATTAGAATGCAGAAACTGGACAATTACCGAAGCGGCTGGTATGAAAACCAGTGGAAAATTATGATAAAAATTTTATGTATACTAAAATAAAAGTGATGGTCGCGGTCGTAATGACTTGTGAAATTTAATTGAAATCGGACCGGAAACAACGTCGGAGTGGTATTTACAATGATATTGAACAAGATAGCGATATCAGTTGTAATATTATTCGCAAAAACTGATAATTTAACTGTGACGCAACGACATGAAACGATATTACAGTTAATTTTTCAAAACTCACGAAATTGCAACAGAAAAATCTCATTAATTTCGATCGTTTTTCATTCATTGCTGTTATTCAGCAGTACAATCGAAATCTAATGATTTCAAAAAAAAAAAAAATCAACCGACAGGTTGCGCAATCGAGAAAACCCAAAATGGAATATTAATGTTAACGACTTGTGGTTGGATACGAGCGGCCTAAAAACAAGATTTTTGTCTGATACAAAAAAGAAACTAAATGATAAGACGCGAATTGGTCACACAAAGCAACCGATAAGAATATTCGGCCAATCGACTACTTATCGTTCGGTAAGTTTACAAAGCGAAACTCGTATCTTAACGATGCAATAGCTCTTTAGTGTTAATTGTAATTATTTGCCGTTTGAGTGGTAAATTTGATACACAATGATGAATCACTCGCACACGGTCATTATTTTCTGTAATTAAAAAATATCGCTAAATTCTATTGTCAGACACGTGGTGTTCTCTACAATTAAAAAATAAGCCAGTAACGATTCGTTTGCAGGGCTTGCACGGAGTAAAACGATTTTCTAAAAAACGTTCGCACGGCCACACGACAATGATGGCCACTATTTTTTTACTTATGGGGCAATANGACAATGATGGCCACTATTTTTTTACTTATGGGGCGGATGAAAAAAAATTGCATAAAACAATCGGCGAAAAACCCTTTGGTCTTGTTGAATACAACTAAAGTATCATAACATCTATTCATTATTGTACAGGCCAATGCAAAGTTACATCATCATCGTCACCTGAGAACCGTGTCACTCAGACCAGTACGGAAAATTCATTTAGGCGGAACGTTTGTTAATACTTTTTTTTTTTGTTCACTTGGCCGATTCAGTTTTCTAGTTAACAGTCGATGAAAAAATAATGTTTTTAATCACAGTTGTTGCCGTCGATAAATTTCGACATTTGCAATAAACCGCAGCTATTATCACTACTTGTGAAATTTACTTATTCATTGTTATACTCTAACAACTATTGTTACTTTTTTTCACACGTCTGGTCGACTAGGAAAATTACCACCTAATTTTTACAATATTAATCATCATAACTAATATTTAATGTTGCATAAACTTAATGCAACTGATCAAGGGTTTCACACTAAACGAAATGATATCTCCCCAACGACCTTCTGGCGTTCTAGTTAATGCCTCAGAGCAGTCTCTACCGTATTTTAACTACTTATTTTTTTTTATTACAAGGTCATCATCAATGATCTATTTTCAACATAAAACTCATTATTATCGACTATCGCGATTAATTGAAGTGTCGGTCAATTTTACTACTTAACGATACTGAAAAATGACACGAAAACAAAGCAACTACAGATATCCGTGTCAATTCGTCTATTAAAGGAAAAGCGCACAAAACAATTAGTAGAAAAAAGAAATCTATTTGACCGTGACAAAGCGATTTTTAATCAAACCTTCATACTTTATTCTAATGCAAATTTATGCACAAAATATGGGGAAAAAAAGTACACTTAAAATCTCCTAAAAGCAACGAATGAAAAAATGAAATAACTTTAATTTTTAAGCTGGGAAATTAATTGTAAAAACATAAATGTAAATAACGTTTTACAAAGGACAAAAAAACGAGTTTTAAATGCCACGCAGATATGCAAAATAGAATTGGTTCTTGTTGCTAGACTTCGTTTTAAAAGATTACATAAAAAATTTACGGATACCACCGAGCTTGACACATAGTAAGTTTATGACACGTTGGAAGAACTAATATGTTTGAGTTCTCTGAAACCCTGACCTGTCTGGAAGAGGAACCTACCTAAGCGAAGGGGCTGGCATTTGTCCAAAAAGGTATGCAGTCACGAACAACTCGAGTTACCGTATTGTTAAAAAAAAAAAAAAAGTGAACTTACCACATGGCTTGTACGGACACGGGCTTGAATATGTGCTGTCGGCTACATACGCTCACGCTAAATCCTCTGTAAAATAAAAAACGAATTATAATTAAACGTTAGTAAAAGAAAGCGTAGTGTGGAGTGATTTATTTTATTGTAACTTTTTATTTAAATCCAAGAAGAAAAATACCACAAACTCATGAGTTGTAAAACATAGTTTTATAATGAAGTAGTTAACTAAATGAACGGTTTTATGGAACGAATCGTAACATGTATAATAATTTGTAGACTTCACAATTAAGATAAAGAGAACAGATTTGTAACGNCTAAATGAACGGTTTTATGGAACGAATCGTAACATGTATAATAATTTGTAGACTTCACAATTAAGATAAAGAGAACAGATTTGATAAATAAATTTAACTATAAAATTGCCCACCGCCGTCATTATTTGTGTAACCAGATAACGGCCTAGGGCACTACTACTACCTCGGGAGATTTCGCTGATAAAGTTGAATTACGACGGAAGCTCGTCTCTCTGGAAAACTTTTAAGGTCATGTCGAATGCCCCGGCGGGGAGGAGTAGTCGGTCAAATTGACAGAAAACCAAGCGGAGCAAGACGCGGTAACGAATGTCAATAGAAAGAGGAACTAAACTAACAAACGGAGTCGATCATTAAAAAACGGCATCGCTGCGCGTCTCGAGTCTAGGAAAAATATTCGTTTTTTAAACATATTTTTTTACTTGAGCACACGCGTTATGTTACGTATATATTATTCGGGCGATAGAATAAATAAACGGACCTATAAATTATCAAAGAATGAAATTTATATAAGAATCTCTAAAGAGGAACTGTCGTCGAGACGGAACGATCGGACAATTAAAAAGATGAACTGGTGTACAACACCGACAATGATAACCGGAAATTCGTTGAGTAATAACGTACACCTTGTATAAATTACAGCAGAGACGATAATGACCGTCATTACTGTTGCACGAGGAGGATACGAAATATTGCACCAAGGAGGCACAACTCTATTACTACGATATTAACCACCGTCGATTAATAATCGTTATTAATATTCGCCTTGAACACAGTGACCGTTGGAAAAAAACACTTTCGGTGTGTACACGTCAGTAAAATAATACACTCGATGAAGAAAATGGCGGCGCGGCAATGGATCGTGTAAACCATTCGAATACAATGAAACTGAAACAATCCAACGGACATCATTAACGGCGCGTGTAAATCGAATTTGTCGCCACGAAATGGGCAGAAATAATTGATTTTGTCGAATCAAAGAGACAAATTAATGGCGTTTCTATTAAAAAAATGAACTCACCCGTCTCCGTCCAAAGTGATGGTAGTATCGGCTAAAAGTCTAAGCACCAAGCCGATGGTAGTTCGCTGATTGCAGTCCAGACCCAGAAGACAAGATTCCTCTTGGCCGCCTGGGTTAACGCATGAAACCACTACCAGGTATCTGGTGCGACCGGAGTGAACGCTTTCGAGCTTCACAGCCTGTGAAAAAAAATATATAATTAATAAGTCATTTTAAATGTTGACATCAAATATCACAACCTATTTGACTACTCTCAAAACTAGCCGTGTCTTAAATTAACACAAGTAGTACAAAAACTCGTATAAGACATAAGTTAGAATACTACTAAAGGTACCTAACTAGTCTATAGAGTATTTCAGTATTTTAATAAAATGGAAGATAACTTTTTTTTTAAATCGATATTTTCTGCAACGTGAAATTTAAATATATTAAATAAAACCGACAAATAGTTTTGGACTACTTAGGAATTTATTATTTGACACCAAATTAACGTGCTGACATTTTAAAACGAAGAGCAATAAACTTTTCGCTGTCTCCGGAGACAAAGAGATTTTCATTAAAACCGAAACGCTAAACTTTTCGACTTAATAAAAAAAAAAATCCTCTAAATTGCAATGAAATGTATCTAAATATATTTTTTAGTATAATATTAACGGACAAGTATACTTATAAGAGTGTAAACCACTCGTGTCTCAAGGCTAGTCTTAATTAGCAAACTGTTTGAAAAGAGCTATTTGAATAATGATGTAATCTCTATTTTTACTGAAAATTGGCATGTTTTCACAACGTTGAGTTATACGATAGTTCCTATTAAAATGCATTGATAACGATATTATTAGTTCGTTGATAATTGTTGAAAATGTACACAATAACATCTCAAAACACAATAAATGAGAATTTAACAACGAGTACGTAACAATAAAATTGAGAAACATTACTACATACGAATGTCACTTAGTATCGCAGCTACAAAAAAATATATGATTGACGTTGAATATTGAACGTTATACTTCTGTAATGCTGACACAAAAGTATTTTGACAATAGGAAGGGTTGTGATGGTCGCCGAGGGGAATGTGAACGTCAAAGAGATGAACGTGTTTTGTAATTTTAAGTGCCGGATATAGTCAAGCAAGACAATCAAAAAGCCTAAGGGCGTCAGAGGTGAAAACATCGGCACCTGCATTATGGAAACACAAGCGAAATCGGTCGATAGATGATGTTTAATAATAATTATCATTTTCCCTTTCAGACACAGCTCATTATTCCATGTGCCCATTAAACGTTATTAACGAGATGTGCGTTTTTCAATAGTGATTGCCGTTCTCATTAATAAATAAATAAACAGTCGAAGTGTTTGGTATTAAGAAATTATCAAATACGAGTCAATAACATATTGAGAAGAAGCCGACAATGGATGATGACGGGCAATTAATAAAGAGATAACAGCGACCGGGAGGACAGCGAACTGAACGCAGAGGATGTTCGCCAAAGTAATGATGAACGTGGACCGTGTAAAAAACCGATAGATTAAATAGGCTAATGTTTCCAATTTTATAACGAAACCGGATTTTTTTTAGCCTGCGACAGTTAAAAACCATTAAAACTTATTTACACATCTAACAATCAGACATCGTTTGAACTTTTGGTAATTCGCTTTTGAATAAACGTCAGTTGAGTTAACCTTTGATTTTAAAATTTGTCCCGGCGCGAATATTTCTTATTGTTAAATCAACAATATATTTTATCAATAAAAAAAAAAAAAAGTTGTTTATACTATTCAGTCAGTCACGTAGCTGATAAATTACTTCGATCCAAATCATTATTCATTACCGTTTTTTACATTTTTTCAATAAAATCATTATTACTGTTGTAAATAGACAACGGATGGGTTGTCTGGTGCACGTCAAATATCTATTATACTGAACAACTATTTAATGAGTCCGTAGCAAATTTATGTTGAGTGTTAACAATCATAATAACATATCTCACGATATAGTGTCTGCGTTTCATACCAACTAATTGTAGATGAGAAATAGATATAAAATGTATACGACGCAATAAAAAAACCTTGTTTTACGTCCAATCGCATAATTCGATGTAACATTGTCCAAAGTCAAGATTTACACAGTTGTGTTGCGCGTGCAACGAAAAAATACACTTTACTAATTAATCGAAAACCGCAACAGAGTAAAGTGCAAAGAGTACCCTGCGCTCTATTGACCTTGTCCCGTGCAAACTCGATATTAAAGAGGTGCCATGAAGTTTGACAGCAGTTTCGTTGACTCGAACGTGGGGGCACCGCGTCTTTGCCGGTACGCGCTAATGACGCGCCGATGATTATTAATTGATCGGGTTTCGGACGCCAAGGACACACAACAGTTCCACAAGCTCCGGACGCACTCGGCGGGTTTCGGTTGCACTTTTAAACAGCTGTAGATGTCAACGGCAAGACGGCGTTGGCGCGTCACGAGGGGCAGGGGCGGTCGATTAATCGTGTTCTAAATGAATTAGATAACGCGCAGCGTGACGCAAATCCTTTTCGATCGTATTTACCTTATCTCGGCGACCTTCGACGATCGCACGCACGACGACGACCGGTCGGATTTACACCGAAAAGTCGACACCGAGGGGCGGGCAGGGGCACCAATCATTGGTAATAATCATAATGCCGCTCGTTCTATCACAATAAGTACAGGCCTAAGCGCGTACAGATAACGCGAACCCGGCTGACAAAACGCGTTTGTGAGCCGTGTAGCGGCGGTTGCGGCATAGAACAGCCTTGAGCGATCCGAACACAACACAATAATCGTCGTGTATTGCCACAGCAGTTTCATTACGATATTATTATTATTATTATTATTGTACACACAGAACCCTTTAAAAATCACGACAATCGCCGCCACGATTATCTCGGCCAAACATTTACAACGTTGTTGAACGTCAGCTATTTACACGTTAAACGGTCGCAGCCTTCGTGGATTTCGAGCGTTTGCTGCCAGTAACGGTAGCTCTCCTTGTGTGCGGTGCCACATAAGAAACGTACAAGGACGGCGCGCGGCTCGTGGAACAAATATTCGATCAATTTAGATACAGTTTGATCCCCACAGAAGTGTTCAAGGACCTCGTACGACCACTTAATGCGGAACAACAACAACAACAAGAAAAACACCGGCCCCATTGTCGACGATCTCGACGCGAATGCAGCGTCCCAGATTTAATCGATATCCTGTACCATAACATACCGGTCGTATATATACAATGGACTCGGGACCGCGCGGATTGCACGGACCGGTGAGGTAGCAGCGGACAAAGGCTGTCCGAGTCGAAACATTCCACAGCGATTCCGGCGAGGGTATGTAACGACAAGCAGCAGCTCGGTTGTCGTTAGTGTCAAGATTGGTGAAATGTCGTTCCGTTTGCCTATAAAGAGCGGACATTCAAAGCGCCGGCCATAGGCTGAACGAAACGAGTTAATGATACCCTCCCCCACCACTCGAGCGTTTCAGCTAAAGTGCTCAAGAAAGTATGATTTAAAGAACGCAGTTAAAACACCTTAGTTAATAACACGGCTGATAAGATTTTATATTTTAGAAACCGGTCAAGATTTTCAGACACGGGGAAAGTCATTTACAGTATACATATCACACACAACAATGATAGTACAAATGCGTTCTACACACGGTCATAATGAGGGAGGATAACAATTGCGTTGTTCCCGCGCGATACATTCGGTGCATACGTCTGAGATTAGTATTGTGTGTACAACAAGCCGTGCTCGGTATCGTGTCAAGGTCGCCGGTGAATTCAAAAAACCGTGAGAAGACAAAAGGACTACGAGTATCGAACGTTCGACCGAACCGTACAGTAACCTTCCAGAGAGACTGAGAAACCGATTATTCTCAATTCGTAAAATCCGCATTTGTTTAGGTGCCGACAACGGCGTGTGATAAGCATCGTTGTCTAAATACGATGTGTATGTCTTTGTTGTGCTCACCATGTTAAGACTGTCGTCGGGCCTGAGGATGTGGAACATGGACTGAAGATGGGCCTGTATGTCGTTGGCGCGAGATTGCATCTCGTTTTCGTTCGCCGACTTCCGGCCGGACGCCGGTGCCGACATGGACTGGTGTCTCGAATGGTGGTGGTGGTGTCTCTTGCGCCGGATTTGTTGATGGTGCGATTTGGGCGAACACAGCACTGCCGAAGTCGTACCCTTGTTAGCAAAATAACATTCGCTAAGTCTGAAACAAAAAAACAATTAAAATGTTAAAAATAAACAAACGACGAAAGTGATCACGACAAGAGAATTATAAAAAAATACAAAACAAGTGGTTCTCATCGAAACCATACTTCAACAACAGTGACAATAGATCGTTATATTTTCTCGACTAATTAAGACAAGCTTAGTAACACAAATAATTCTCATTTGTGTTACTGGCACTTGATGCGACCGTGAGTGATAACATGATGTACTACTACCTTTTTGTCATTGCCTACTCTAAAAAAACATATAGTTACCTATTGAGTTTTTTCTAGAGTAATTTAATCGCTCCGCCTGAGTAATGTTAACCGGTAGCCAACAAACGCCAGCACACGTCTACCAACAGAAGATTACAATGGTAAAACATCGTTTACATAATTCGAATTCCGTATAACGCAGTATCTTTTTCGTTGTTATACTAAGTACTTATATATAGTGAAGCGCATACTTTATTATTACAACAGTTGCAGTTATCAGACCCGAATGCGCGTGAAGAGCTAACTCAGGTACCTCCCGTGTAGTCCCGCGTAACAACAACCCAAATAACAAAATAAAAAAACTAAATTCGAAATTAAAATCTCCAGGAGCCGATCGATTATTATTACATCGACGACCGAGGAAAGCAATGGCGAGTAGTAGTGACAGATGGGAACTACAAGCACCACGTCGTAATTCGGACAAAATACATAAAAAAACTCAGGAACACGTTTGACCGAGACGACACGAGCAATAGAAATGTATTAACGATTTATACTGACAGAACGACCGCAAATGAAATTCGATGCGCACTCGCTTCGAGATTCATAGCCAAAGGGAGTCGACACACGAAATATTACTACCGTGTGGTAGAAATGAAAATTCTCACAAATTGTCGGTATAATATTCACTCGGCATATCATTAACATGTAACGAGTGGATAATAAACTTTCACGGGTCACAGCGAATTTTATTACTATTTGCTCCGAGTGTTTACATTTTAATTTGTGGTTTACCGATTAGGACAACGATAAAAACAAAAAATCCCTTCGGTTCAACACTTAAAACTTTCTACTCCAAACGAGATACTGTTGAGACGTTACACGGTACTAATTCGCAACCCGACCGTTGCATAAGAGTAATTAGAGCCTGCGGCTGATAAATACGAATTGCCAAGTGCTGGCGTCCAATCACACGAGCTGGTCTATAAAATTAACGCCGGCAGAGTGATAACAGTGACCGGAGGACATTAAGTGTTACACGCCGGCCGGAGAAATCTAATGCGGAAAACGAAAAAGAAATAATGAGCCATTTCCATAACGTGTAATTCAATACGATAACTCTATTAAACTGTTGCTCAACGCGCGGTGATAACTACGAGGTCCATCGCGAGAGTGTCATAATGAAATCATTGTGTAGTTGCGCCCGAGTAATTTACTGGAAATCTCTAAACCGCCATACTGATACGGTTACTTCATAGGCAATCAGCAGCGAACATTGCGCGGTGTTTATTGCAGAAACACTTTGGAGTACCTTAGAGTAGATTTTCTGCTACACATCAATTAGCCGTCCAAATGTTCTTAAAGATTTTTAACGAGAAAATTTCACCGTCTGTAAAGTTCAGACATTTTACAACGATGACCGATTAACACCTTCGCGTCGAGTGTCAGTCACGGACTGCCCCACCTACAGGAGCTTTTACTCGGATTAAAATTTCAAACAGTTCACCTACAGGCGGTCGCCGAGTTAAACGCTCACGTGATACGAACATAAGTGTTATTGGCTAACGCATAGGAAATGTATTGATGTTTGTTTATGACAAATGCCTCCGGACACATAATGTGTAATAGTACAATTTATTATATGCAACACACTACGGACACATACTGTCGTAAACCATTTTCACTTGGATAGATTGGTTGTTATATACGCGATTATACGCACAGCAAATAAAAAACTCAATAATACTTGAGAGAATCTTTTGTTTCGGACACACAAAAAAGGGTAGTAAGATTACTATAGAAAAAAATTATCCAGAGGTTGGTCGTGACAAGTTTTCCTCTACACAAATCCCTTCTGTCATGTTTTGTATGTTTAACAATCAAGTGATCTCAAAGGATTTCCTGCTGCATACGCCCAAGCAGGTGGCACTTGTACGTAGAACAGCTCGCTACATACTTACATGTACACACTCTAAACGTAATAGAACAATCGCTACGATTTATAGTTTTTTTTTATTGACTAACGTCATTTTATGTTTGAAAAACATAAAAAATATATGAATTCTCTGCGAGTCGCCACAAGAAATTTATTGCATATTGACTGCTCAAAAGCGCACAATTCAAATCGAGTACGATGATTAAGTGCTATTTATCAAGAGCTTATGATAATTACGATAATTTTATACATCCCTGTGCAGTCTATTGTAAGTAAGGCTAATCTGTGCGGAAGTTATTCGAATAATTTCCAACTGGCCAGACATCGCAGTCTTTACAGTAATAATTTGTTATTATATTCTACGCGATAAATGATAAAATATAATACTGACAAACCGGTTACGATAAGAGTTATGTTTTTTGACCACATTTTACAAAAATTAGTAACACACTAAAGGAAATGTAATACGAACGATTCGAATTTAAAATCTCATCTCGTTCGATAACAAAATCCATACAAGCGATCCAAACAGTGTTTAGTGTGTACGAAGAACAAGGCAAACACGTTTGAGTGCAAAAATTTGTATAAACGATGAATACATTAGTACATGAGACACAAATATAAAAACATATACATTTTTTTAATTAAAAACATTACAAACCAGTGTCTAGCCTCTCGGAGAGTTGTTGAAATGTTTAAAATATTACTAGAGAATATTCGGTACTTAAATAAAATATATAAATATAACAAACATTAATAAAGGCAAACCAATAAATGTCTAACCTTCGGCTTTGAAAACAAATAACATCTATAAATCATCATGTTTACCGCGTGATGTTCACTACCAAAAACAAAATCCAGTCATTAGGCGAGTATAAACAATTGCATTACACGTTTTAATTGTTTTTAGTCAACAAAATGCCATAAACTCTTTTTTATCAGTCTATCACCTCAAACGTTGAAAACACATACTTCCTCGTTATTTTTCATCAAAGATAAGTTAATTTGTTTCTAGAGTTCATTAATCGGTAATATATGTGTTTGAAAATTAGTTTTTTTTTTTCAATAACTTTCGTGCATACTACTTAATCGCCTTAAGGTAAATAAGATGTTGTTCTATCATAAATCAAATAATTAATAATTAGATATAATGTAATTTTAAGTACTCATTTTTATAATCTTGACGTTATAAAAATCATTTAGTTTCGGTAAGTTGTATTCGTCGATATTAATCGATTCCAATGAAACAAAAGGTAAACAACACACGTGTTAATTTTACAGCTTTAAAATGTACACATTTTACTATTCCGAGAAGTGCTTTGTTCTTTAATGCGAATTACAGTAAACGTTTCATCAGTAGAGTCTTAAAAAGAGAACGCACATAAACAGATTGAGAATAGTTATTTTGTTGTATAGACAAAGTTAAGTTGCCAATTTTTAATATTATTGGAAAATGTCCAGGAAATTCACGGAGAAAACTGTGAAATCGCCTAAAATGGTAGATGGAATTACAAAATTAGCTGACGAAAAGACTTCCAAGGTTTTTGGCAATATGTTTTTTATATTTATGTTAAGGTTAAAAAAAAATGTTACGAATTAAACGTACCATATATATCATTTACTCGAACATAATTAACGTTCAAATTGTACACCCAAAAAATGATTTGCATAGGTACGTAACGATTTGAATTGATTAATATTTAAACTCATTTTTATCACGTCTAGAAAAACTATAATTGGAATTTCTAGATTTATGATGTTATAATTATGAAATATCTTATGGCAAGAACAAAATATTGTCTGATGGACCGGAAATTATTCTTGTCGCACACGTGTCCAAATAAAAGTCGGACCAGAGAGAAGTATTTTAACAATGCAAAACATCTGTCGTCTCCGAATCACCTAAATTATAAATACACTTTGAGCGCCTACTCATTTGTATTGTAACGAAGTGCAAGCTCGACAATAAAAAACCTCGGTAAAGAAAACCCAAAAGCTAGTTCTGATGACGAGTGTAAATTTGGAGACACGGCCGAAAGAAGAACAGTGACCGTATGATATTTCATTTGAAAAGAAACAGTGTTGATTTCGTTCATCAAAATGAATACTACTTCATTCGTATGGTTTTTTTTTTAAACATTATTTTTTTAGTGCGATGTACTTGTACCGCGAGTGGAAGTTAAAACGGAATATCGTAATTAATAAGACTTCCACTTGGGCACGAGCCAAGGTTCTTTTGAGAACCCGATGGTCTGCAATGTTATCAAATTAAAAATAATACGTTCCGTCGTACGACGAATTATCGTAGTGAGCGTTACGGTCGAGATACACCTGAGACCCAGAGGGGAGGTACCATAAATCGAAATCCGTGATGTGAGACGATACGGCAATGGCATTTGCATTTTTCAAGAACAAAGTAGAATTACACTGGCGCAGACGATGCGCTCAGAGGAAGTCGACAAAATATGGAGATTAATAGAGGCAGCGACCACTCTATCTTGGGATAGGCCATTGTGTGTTAAAACGAACTATTATTGTTACTATTTTTCAACAGTTCAATAAGTGAAACAATGTTTGATCGGTTACAAATAGATTCCATTAATGACTATAGTCGAGCCAATAGCTGTGAGCCGTTTAACCTCGTTTTTTACAATAGAATACATTTTTATACGCACTGTTAAGAGAAACTCACAATGCCTTTGGAACTAATGTAAATACACATGTTAAATTTCGTGGCTTCTGCCAAAACATTATGTATTGTAGTGTTCATAAAATTGTTTACCCACGCAGCAGACAAATAACGCCCTTCAAAATAATTGTTCCTTTTCTTGGGATTTTAATAATACT